AGGACGGCAGGAAAAACCCTCACTATACACACACACAGTCTAAAACTTGACTATCCATGCATTCACACACGCCTCAAACCTCCATTATCCACATATCCTCTAAACCCCTCACTATCCACATATAATCCAGACACCCACTATCCACACCTTTACTATCCACACATCCACCAGAAGGTTGACTCATCACTGAATATCATTTACATTCAAATACATTTTCTTTAAAAGCGGGAACATGGTGAGCGCCTCCATATGCCCAGTCGCTCAAGATCTTATTTACATACGCAAATAAATCTGAACAAGACAGATTTAATCAACAACAAATCGTCTAAAATCAGGGCCGACCTGCCAAGCGGGGCTGGGAGCATCCATCCCCGTGAACCTCCTCCTCCTCCTCCTCCTCCCTCCACCTCTGCCTGGCCCACACTGCTCCATCCCTGCTCGCCGCTTGTCAGTGTGTGCCAAGCTGTGCTGGGGACAACGTGTGCTGCGCCGCCCGCCCGCATTATCGCTTTTATTCCGCCTAATTGACAGGATATTAGCGCGCCTAGGATGTGATAGATAGTGTGGATATTTATCTCTCTCTCGCCTGGATGTCTCTGAGGTGACCTGGAGTGTGCGGTGTGAGGTGTCAGCTCGGGAAGTGTAACTGTAGTTGGATATTATAAATAAAATAGATGGGTAATTACCGTACGAGGTAATTGGATATTTATAGTCTTCAACTGGAAACATATATAAATAATCACTTTATTTTTATTTCTTAAAAATGGTAAACAATAACAACATGAGTTAGATAAGAAGGTGAAAGAAAAAGTGTTAGAGGAAATTGTCCCTCGCTTTACCCGGCCAGTGAGTGTTGTTAATGAATGTGCCGACGGTTGTTGTGTTGTGAGGGCTTCTTCACCACTACTGTAGGCCTCGGTCACCACGGGGCCGGCCTCCAACTTTAAGTCCATCACGTACACTCACCGCTCATAAATGTGAAAGTTGCTGTCAAGGATTAACACACACAAAGGAAAAATGTTTACAGTATTTTTCCGTTTTGTAGTTTGATAAGACTCCAACTAGTTATTGAGGTCCATTGAACCGGGTACACTTACTAAACAAGTTCCTTTGATCCTGTGATTCAAGTCTCAAAAAGTCTAATTATGAAGGAGGGCGGCACGGCCAGTAATGACAGAGGTCCACCACTGAAATAGGAAGACTTGTGTTTGATGTTGTGGAGGGCGGCAGAGTGCCACTTGCATCCCTCTACACCTTAAAGAAGACGAGGAGCTATATGCCTGCTGCCTCACCCAACCTTACAGTTAATACTAGTTTTCTCAGATTTACAAAATGTTGTCATACTTGAGTGACGTAATTGTTGTATAATTATTAGTGCGCAGTTAAAGAATGTTTTTTATTAGTAAAAAATCACAATGATGACCACTTGTGTTCAGTAACGTGTTGGTAAAGTTTACTAGATGATGGTGAGTGCGGGGCGAGCTCAAGCGGGGCTGGTGGCGACGCTGGTGGTGATGGCACTGGCAGTCACGCACCATGACGCCCACGCCGCCCGCACCACCAGGAACCTCAGCCCCAGGATGGTGAGGACCAAGTACGGCACCCTGCGGGGACTTATAGTCAACCTCGGGGTACAGAGACTGGGTGATGCTGAGGTGTTCCTCAGTGTGCCTTACGCCTCCCCGCCCATAGGCAACTTGAGGTTTATGCCCCCGGGGTCACCCTCACCCTGGAGGGAGGTGAAGATAGTGGACCACCTGGGGCCAGTGTGTCCGCAGCGGCTACCTGATATTAGAAATGAGACAGAAGCTCTCAAGAAGATGAGCCGCGGCCGCTATCAGTACCTACGACGGCTCCTGCCCTACCTGAGGAACCAGAGCGAGGACTGCCTCTACCTCAACATCTACACACCTGCTGGAGGTAAGCCACTCAGTCTCCCTCGCCAGTTGAACTTGCTACGTTTTTTTTTTGTTCGTAATGGGCGGAAGCAACGTTTACTTAATACTTATCTATAATTTTTTTTTTTTACTATGATATTCGTTTCGGGAAAATTTTGTTTGACGATTCGATAGTGAGTGTCTTTAACAGTGTAGTGACTCATGCTAACTTGGCTGGTGTAAGGCGGCGGCCGTGTTAACACTTGTGATTCCCGGCGCTTCTCTCTCATCGGCTACTGTTATCCACTTTGGGATTCGTGTCAGGGTCTCATGGTGGTAAGACAGTGATTTGGGGAGCAAGTAATATACTCTAAACATCTTTACACACACACACAAAACCATACCTACACACACACACACACACACACCCACACACACACACCCACACCCACACACCTACACCCCCCACACACACGCGCGTTTCAAAAAAAAGTGTCGTCAAATTTCAACTCATAGTGCGATTCCTCAACTATAGTATTGAATCCCTGACAGGTTCTGAGGAAGAGATGAACAAAAACACACACTGGCGTAAACCTTACATTAATTTCACCAGACAGAAATAATGAAAACTTCGCCATTGTAACGAGCGCGGTGCCACATAACTGACAGTTTCGTTATTAACCGCACAACAGAAAAGAAGCCTGATAACATGAGGTATTTTCCAAGAAATTCTCGGGCAAGAAAGGAGGAATTTTACGGGTGAAATTCCTCGAAGTCCAAGTTAAATGGCCCACCAAATTTTTTTCTTCTTCTTTTATGTATAAATATTGAAAAATCATGGAACAAGCCATACATTGTCCTCCCCCTGCCCCCCCAGGTGTAGAGTGTCGTCCCTGGGGCCTCATTAATTGCTGTATTCTCTGGTGATCGGTTCATTGTCCTTTTTGTCCCTTTATTAAAGTGGTCGGGCCAGGGGGTGACGCGTCCCAATTCCAATTTACACGGTGGCGCTGTCTCCACCTCACACTGTGTCGGAAATTTAGAATTTTTCTCGCGTGTGTGTATTTGTGTTAGTCGCTGGTGTTGTTCTTGTATTATACTTTACTTTATTACTCAGCGAGGTAAGGGTTAAACACTGCTGACTGGCGCTGTATGATACATGGATTAATTTTGTTAGTTTGTCCAGTGGTTCTCTCACCACCTTGAACGACCGTATAGAGGGATGTCCTGGTTCTTGGTTGGTAGATAATTAGGAACACACTCTATCAGAGCCCAATACTGAAATGTGAATACAATTAGATAATGTATTACTCTCAAGACTATATACACAATTCAACGAGGGACAAGTATTTACTATGGCGTTATTCTCCTCAATGGAATTCACCAAAACAAAATGATGAAGTAGCAGACAAAGGATTAGTACGGAATCAATCAGTCAGTCACTCTGCCATATTCGCGTCTGAGGGTTGGCGACCACAGTCCTCCACTCCCAAACTCAGGTGAAGTAAAGCCCAAGAAAGTGAATTTAGTTTGTATTATAAATCCTGAGAGATTCAATCAGTCTTCCTCGAGCCTTGACCTGAACCACCTGTTTTAATTACTCAGAGGCTTTAGGAGTCTACAGGTAATGACTCCAGGTAGATAATGGTGAGTCGACAGATTAAGTGTCGAATTCACAGCTTGCCTTAACTTAGCACATTTACTTGACTAATTTATCCTATTTTAATTTCACCTAACTTACCAAACATAACTTACCCTACCCTACCATACCTTACCCAACTTTAACCGAACCTAACTTAACCATACAACCCCAGCCTAACTTACCTAACCGAACCTAACCTAAGATAATCGGAATCTTTGGTATGGAAATTCAGCTCTGAGTCCGGTTGTTATTATGACCCGACAGAACTTGCAGTGTCTCACATACATATCACTTGACTAAGCATCGATTTGCTTTTTGTTTGTTTGTGACTGTCTGTCTGCCGTTCTGTTAGCGTTTTTGTCGATATCTTTATCTTGTTTGCTTGTCTATCTGTTAAAGGTTGTTTGTTTGTCTTTCTGTCTCTGTCTATTAGTGATTGTCTTTTTTGTTTGTGTCTGTTATTGTTTGTTCTTTGGGTTGTTTGATGTGAGTGTTTGTCTGTCTGTCAGGCTTCTTGTGTCCACTGGTATGAGCCGATCTTTTGGAAATTCAATTGCGGTATACAGCTGGTTATTATTATTATTATTATTATTATTATTATTATTATTATTGTAATCAACTTTTTTTATGCATCTATTTATGGTAGAAAATAATACGATAATTGTGCTCGACTATCTGTTATTTTATAAAATACATTTGTATTCATTAATCGACTTCACCTCGTATCCGTCTCTTTCTTCGGCGTGTTCTGACTCGTGAGGAGAAGTAGAAGACACACACACACACACAGACCTAACAGAGAGAGAGAGAGAGAGAGAGAGAGAGAGAGAGACCCTACACGGTCTTCTTCACCATAACACCAAAAAGAGACACACCACCGTCGACATAACACAAGATATCCTAAGCTCTCTTTTGTTTGTCATTCCATTAACTGATTGAGTAAATGGTGAGAGTAATCCTGGGATTAACTGTGACATCCCTTACCTTTCTATACCGCTCTGTTAGGTTGTATATATGTATAGTACATATAACGGTCGACTCTGGGTTGTGTGAGGTAATTTCTACACGTGTGATAGTGAAGAACCGAGGATAGACTAGTTAGGTGTGTAAAGGTGTTATGTGAAGGTAAGGCCATGATAGCATATTATCTGTCAAAAGTGAAGGAGTGACGGGGTGGAGGAGGAGAACGACATATGGTCACCTACAGGTTGTTAATGTTACGTTATTTATTTATTAAATTTTAATAATTTTTTATATTTATTTAAGGACTTATGGTTGAAATTAACATTGACTGTATAATGTTTAGTTGCGTTTGTTTGTTTTTGCTTTACGAACGTGATTTCTTATGTTCGCTCTACGTAATTTGTTAAAGCTTACTTACGAAATTTACGTATATGCGTTTTGTGTGTGCGTGTGTTTGGTGAAATTAAGTTGGTCTATTTCACTATATATCTGTTTCCTCACAGCATCCAGATAACATTGTTCTCTGTTGTGTTTAGAAGGAATTGTGTGAGACAAAGTATTAGAGTTTTGTTTAGTACATTCAGTTTGTGTTTGGTTTTCGAGTTATGTGTTTTTATGTTTCAAAAGTGAGTGATTAAAACAGACAGTACTAATAATCTGTTTGTCGGTGTTTTATTAGTTATATTTATTTTTGCCTCAGTGACTGATTAAAATAAATATTAATAATTGGTTTTGGTTCTTGAGTTTTTTTTTTTTTTTTAACTCAAGAGAACGATTATAAAAGAGTTAATGGCATTTGTATTGTTTTGCAACAGTCTATAGTTTGTTTATTTTTTGGGGGCTTTTTAGCTCCGAATTAGTAATGAAGAAACGGGAATTAACTTTGTGTTTTTGTTTTTAAATTGTGTGTTTTTACCCTAGAGTGAGCAATTAAAACCAGATGGAGTATTTATATTCTACAAATTAATTACTTTTCGGATTTTAAGTTTTTGCCACACGAGTGAGCTATAAAAAGAGACATTAACGTCCTTCCATTCTGATATTTTTTTTCAACTTTTCCTCAAATGAGTAATAAAAATAATCTATAATTTCTCGTCTATTTTTTCTCAGATTGAGTAATTAAATCGGTCATTAATAAGTTTGCTTTAGTTTTCGATTTGATTTGCTGTTCCCTATGTATCACCACCATCTTATCTCTGTACCTTCACTGTTCCCTATGTATCACCACCATCTTATCTATGTATCTTCACTATTCCCTATGTATATCCACCATCTTATCTCTGTACCTTCACTGTTCCCTATGTATCTTCGAGTATCGTCTTTGTAGCTCCCGAGTGAGTGATTAAATCCAGGTTTACTTCATCGCCGGGTGTGGTGTGGTGTACAAATATCTCATCTGCTCACTAATAGTTCTCGTAATAGCTATTTGTGAACGGTGTCGAGCGGAATATATTTTTCTTTTCGTTTTCCAGCAACACGTTCAAGGGATGAGATAAGAAATTAACAAGAAAATCGCCGTCTATATAATGAAAAGTAGTACGGGTATTGCTTTTACTTTTGTGGATTATTTAAGCGATGGAGGAAATTAACTAGAAATTGTAGTACGTCTAATTAAAGGTGCCACAGGTATTGTTACTATTATTATTTTCTTTTTCAATTATTTAAACGGGTGTCTATTATTTACGCTTCGGGTTTCTCTTCTCTAAGAATTTTTTTTTTCCCAATTACGAGTTCATTTATGGTTTACTTATAAGTGGAGTGTGTCTAATGCCTTAAGTGTGTCCTACCATTGGTCGAGTGTGTCTTGTCATTTATAAGTGGAGTGTGTCTAGTGCCTTAAGTGTGTCCTACCATTGGTCGAGTGTGTCTTGTCATTTATAAGTGGAGTGTGTCTAGTGCCTTAAGTGTGTCCTACCATTGGTCGAGTGTGTCTTGTCATTTATAAGTGGAGTGTGTCTAGTGCCTTAAGTGTGTCCTACCATTGGTCGAGTGTCTCATCAGTTATCCTTGTTTCTCCTCCACTGGGAATATCTCTCACTTTCCTCAGTTATATACAACAAGACAATACTTAATAATATTTAAAAAAAACCCACAAATTTCCTGTTGACACTCGCGAAAATATTTACAGAATCAGCCAGTTTTTACTCACACAAGAAAGATAATTTGTACATTTTAAATACCCCGTTGTAAGTGTTGTGTGAGGTTTATAATAGTTATTTAGACTGGATTTTTTTTTACAATAGGTTAATATTATAGAAAACTTTCGTTCCTGATTTACAATAGGACTATACATTATAATGTATTTTTAGTGTTCGATTCCTTGTTTATTTACATCAGATAATTTTTCAGTACTCATTTACACAATTATAATCTCACATGCAAAGTTCATTTACACTGTTAGAATGCCACATTCTTGGTCCTCTATCATTTACACTTTTACACGTTTATAAATTACACATTCATTCATACTAAAGAGACCTTTAATAAACCTCACTCTCCAACACCACCCCACTCCCCTCCAACACCACCCCACTCCCCTCCAACACCACCACCCCACTCCCCTCCAACACCACCCCACTCCCCTCCAACACCACCCCACTCCCCTCCAACACCACCTACTCACTCCTGCAACATCACCCCCACTCCCCTCCAACACCACCCCACTCCCTCCAACACCACACCACTCCCCTCAACAACTACCTCCTCTCAACACCATCCAACTCCTCTCAACACCTACACTCCCTCCAACACCACCTCCTCTCAACACCACCCCTCACTCCTGTATCCCCACCCCCTCCCCTCCAACATCACCCTACTCCTCCCAGCACCCACCTCTCCCTCCAACACCACCCCTACCCTCAACACCACCCCCTCCTCTCCAACACCACCCCTCCTCTCAACACCACCCCACTCCTCCTCAACACCACCCCATACTCTGCTCACCAACATCACCCCCTCCCTCCAACATCACCCCTCCTCCAGCAACACCCCTCCTCTCAACACCATCCAACTCTCCAG